CTCTGCTGTTCCCAAGGCCAGGCTCAGCTCCCAGCACTTGTCATGACCTGAGAACCTGGAGCAAAGGCCCAGGGGGTTATTTCATATAACATGGCCCCTGAATGCAAGCCGGCCACTTCATCTGGTACTCAGCTGAAGAAACAGCTATTTATATCAATAATGGCCATGAGGGAGTGGAGGTTGAGGGGTGGGGGTTTGGGGTTGGGATGCGGGTGTGTGGGGGGGAGGAATACCATTGTGTTCTTCATGAAAAAAGAGATAATTATACTATTATAGGTATTTAAAGGATTTTCCAGGACAGTGTTACCTGTATGCGACTTTCTCTTCACAAGCTGGCATTGAAACTTACCCCCTGCCTAAGATTACTCCAAACTCTATTAAGATGGGTTTGGGGACCATTCCTTAACCAGTCACTGACAATTTAGAGGTAGGGTCCTTTAGGAAGGGAGTGACTTCCGTTTGGACTTTATGCTAAGAGCTGTTGAAGGTGCACTTCCCCAAAAAAGGAGGGTCCGTCTCCCAGGAGACTAGGGGAGGACAGCTGGGGAGCAAAATAATTGAGACCCAGTACACTGCAGTGACCCAGGGACCTGAGGTGTTTCCTGTAGGGCTGGAGTCTTTATAAACCTCGTCCTCCACTTTGATACCCTTGCAGTCCTCTCCCCTCCTCTAGTCCCCCTTGTGGCTCACTTCCTGACTTCCTAGTCCCCTTTAGAGTTGTGGCCTCTTCCGTTCTCCTCCATTTTACATTCATTTTACTCCCTAACAACTGCTGCTATAGTGTTTGTGTGTATCAGCATCTTCCCTCAACTCATATGAAACTGTAATTCAGCTACAAAAATTGAACTTGGAACCTCAGCTGTCCTTTCCACCTAGAACCAGGCCCAGTTCCTCAGGGGATGAGGCGGTGCCTCACTGTCTCTTCTCCAGTCCCCAGACGGCACCCCGGGCCCAGGCTGTGCACCCCCTCTTTTCCTGGCTGGTCCATTCCCTGCAGTTCAGAGTTTGTTTCCTAACCGTGTGGAGATCTTAGTCCTGGAGGCCACCATTCTGCTTTAGTTCTCTATTCATCGTCTTTCTCCAGGTAAGGTTGCCAGATGAAATATTTGGGACATCTTTCTACTAAAAGCCTTATTTATTGTTGATCTGAAATTCAAATTTCACTGGGCATCCTGTACTTTTACTTGATACATTTGGCAACTCTTCCTGTAAGACTTCCATAAACATGACCTCTACCTGCCTTGAGTGCACTATGAGTGACTATCTAGGCCCTCACTTGCTTAAAATATTCAGACTTTCATGCCAAATATTACTCTGGATTTTCTACTTTAAAAATTATATTTATGTTTTTCTAATTATAAAATATATTTATGGCATAAATTTGGAAGACACAGTAAAATACAAAGAAAAAATAAAAATCAAGTTTAATACTACCACTCAGGTATACTATACATTGAAAATTCCCTCTAAATATATATAAATTTAATAAATTTACTAGAATTTACTGAATGTGTGTGATTATACTTTTTTTAAAAAAAATTGGGGAATTGGGGGATGGGAACAGCGCTGGGGAATTGGGGGAAGGGGAACAGACAAGCTGCTGTCCTTTTGTTTTTCATTCTAGTTGTGGGGGACGTTGCTTCACTGGCCCAAGTTGGCACCATCATTGCGCTCTTCCCGGGCGAGGCACATCAGTCGCCGGCTTCTGGACGGCCCCTCACTGCGGCTGCTGGCCGCTCACGCTGGCTGCTGGCTACACACGGTAGCCCATGGCAACCCACTGCAGCCGGGGCTGCAGCCTACACCGTGGCAGGCGACTCACGGCAGCCCAGCTCCAGGTTGAGCTGTTGTTCAGCATCTTAGCTGTAGAGGGCAGTGTCACTGGCCCT